CACACACACACACACACACACACACACACACACACACACACACACACACAAAGACGTTCAGGCTAGGTCAGTTGGCAGTGTCCACCTTATCTCCATAGTTTTATGGCAGTTTGCGTCCAGTTTTGCTGAGTCCATGTCCTTGGCCTTTGAATGTCAGCCTCAACCTGCCTTTCTGGCAGTGGCCTGCTGATTTACAGTCTTCTAGAGATGCCTTCACTGTCTAGGCTGGAGGTTTGTGCCTTTTCCTGTTGTGTCTGTGCCCATGTAACAGCTACAATCATTTTTTATAACTTCATGGAAGTTCAACTCCGGTTAGAGAGTCAGTCACCCACCTTGAGGGTTATCAGGGTGGTGTATGCCTTGTTCATAAAGATGCATAACAAATCATATGAACTCGTTCAATAAGATTGTTTTCTACTTTCTTCCCCCCCCTGAATTTACTTGTAGGCGTTTTCTTTCCCCCCCTGAATTTACTTGTAGGCGTTGGGTTATTGGATGCAATTCCTATGAAAATGTGCCGATTGTTCGTGGATCTGGAAGGTGCCATTCTCACATTTACTACCGTCTTTGCCCGAATATAAGATCCTGTCATTATAGCTGTGTTTGCGGCAATCTTCAGATTGGGTACAGCTATAAGGATTCACCGTTCTATTTGGGTGAAGAAGATGGTAGCAGGGTTCGGTTCCGCAAAATTTCCAGCGTTGTGATTGAGAATTTGACAGAATGGAATGCTAATGCATAGTCGCAAGAGCTCAGAAATTTGTGAGTCACAGGCGTTGTTACAAGTGTTCGAAGGTTATAGATGGTGCAAGCCGATTAGAAGATATGGGAGGTGTAAATTCTCGCACCAGGACATCTTGAAGTGAATGCCGTTGTTATGGTTGCTAGATTTGTCCATGAACATCGTGCTGTGAAGATGTAGTCCACCTCAAAGGTGCAGGCGTGTGTAGCACACCGAACATGTTTGACGGCGACCCGAGCAGCCGAACGTGGTCGGGCGCTCAGCCGAGCGGGAACCGAACATGTTCGGCCGAGTGCATATTAGGGGGCTACCGAGCGTGTCCTGGTGTGCGTGTGGTGTGTGGGGTGTCTGTGGGGTTGTGTGTGTGTGTGGTGTGTGTGCGTGTGTATGTTCAGGAGTGATGAGAAATGCCCCCCAGGGCCCCCCAACCCCTATATATATTTAAAAAAAAAAAAAAGTGTGGCCTTGGTCTAGTTTGGGCCACGTTCGGGCTCGGTACCGAGCGTTCGGGTTCGGGCATGCGATGCTACGCAGGTGCAGGCCAATGAAGTTTCCGAATTGAGTTGCGGAGCAAAAGACCCGTAATGTAAGGGTGGGTATATAGGTGACCTTCGTTATTACAAATCGTCACTCTTGCAAATGTGAACCAATTGGCGATTGCAACATGTCACAGTCGGCGTCCTCGATGGCATGTAGTGGTTCGCGGCATATAGAGTAGGGATCAAACATGAAGGTGGATGGGCCTTTGCTAGCTATGCGTAAAGGTTGACGGCATGGTAGAGGATTGTGCTTTAGGATGTCAACAATTCAGGGATGAGATCCTTAAATGTGTCTAATTTATATATACATAATTTACTTATTCTCAATAATATTAATTATTAATTAGGAAATCAATCAAATAAATTCCTGCAGAATGCCTTGGAACTTGGAAGTAGAGAGTTCAATGTCTCTTATCTACATGTTGGACGAGAGAGGGACATCATAAGGACTCGTTTCAGAAAACAGACTGTTTTCGTTGGAAGATTTGGGGTCCGGGGAGGACGAGGTCATTAGAAAGTCTTCGATAAACAACGATTAAGACTCAATCAATCTGCTGAATAGAGGAGATATCAAGGAAGGAAAAGGTTTTTGAGGTTTCTTGTGGATTGTTTCCCTCTGCTAACCTTCCCCCAGTGCAATGAGTTTTTCACTAGGAATGGTGTCTGAATTTCAGACCAAGTTAACAATTTGACAAACCGGTTTGCAAACGAGGTGGGTTGGTTAATGGGCTAGGATTCCCCATGGATGCAAGGGCCTGCGTAAGGCCTGTTAAATTTATTTATAAATTATAATTTCATTTCTCACTATAAAGCTTGTTAAAAGGGTCCGTTTCATCATCAATACTTATGAACCTTGCGTGCAAGCGGACACTGTGCGGTAAATTTTGGACGTTTGGCGCATGAGTGGACCTGCACAGCGCGGCGCACGGGGATCTTAAAAAAGAAGGGGGCTGCATGGCTCGGTGGGTCAATAGTCACCAGCGTCCCCTTTAAAGATTTGTTGTGGGATCGGTTGGGGGGGGGGGGGGGGGGGGGGGGGGGGGGGGGGGGGGGGTATTAGGAGTAGTGGGAGGGTAATGCGGCTAACTAAAAGTAATATTTGATGTCCCGGACACCTTTTTCAGGTTATTTCTCATGCCCAAGTGGACGGAAAGAAAACATTGGCATGCCCGTACCTGAAAGAGATCAGTTCCTTAGGTGTTGCACTCTTTTGTATCTATTAAAACAGCCAAAAACAAACGAAAGAGGGAAACTGCAGCTGGGACAGCGCACGAGCAGGTGCTACACGCGCACGTCGCGTGGGGGACTGCATGGTGCGGTTGCAAGTACGTTATGAACCTATTTCTTCTCATGCTCGGTTGTGGTGGTCTTTGGGCATGTAATGTAGTGGCACAAGGGCTGGGCTTGCAACTATATGCGATGTGTCTGTGTCCGAATTGTTGTGATAGACAATGTTTCACAATATATAGATATATATTTCTATGTTTTTTTCTAGTACGTATTTGCAGAGTTCATGACCTGTCCTATATTTGTGAAATTTGTCCCCTCTCCCCTCTCCCACCCCCCACCCTCCCCCCAAAAGAAAACTTTGCTCTTTTCTGTTGAGTGGGAGCAACTCCTGTCGCGAACCGTGCTCAGCGTCCCCGTAAAATTTGTCTTAGATTTGTTTGCTCGACAAACTCGGGCAAAGTGCAACAATAAAATGTAAGCCTCCCTTCTCCCCACTGCAACATTTTGCTCTCTTTTTTTCCAAGCTGAACTTGACTACCCCCTTTGTATAAATCGGTATGGCGCGAAACTGTTGTCGGCAGGTACTAGTTATCAATAAAAGTTGATGTGCTGTGCGTGTTTTAATGCGGAAAATATAATCGGATGGTGTAGTCCCACATAAGCTGATTGACAATGGCATGTTTACTACTCTTTTTCCAATGAAAAAAAGTGAAGTAGGTTTTTCAATGTTGTTATTTGAACTTTCCCCCCTTTTTTGAACAAGTGGTTAACAATCCGTTGAGTTGTTGTAATATGTTTTTAATTTGTAATAGGAAAGGATTTAGCGATTTTATAGGTTTTTGAAATGGAGTTTAAAACATGGATTTAAACCACCGGTACTCGGACAAGCTATCGCCCACGGGCCTTCCCGTTAACGCGCCGACACCATCGGGGGCCAAGGGAAGGCCCGGTCGCTGCTCGAAGGCCGGGCCCCGGTTCTCTCGGCACAACACCAAAAAATGGAAGACCAAACAAAGAAAAAAAAGATTCAAATACACAAATTAAAAAAGAAAGAAAACAAAACGTAAAAAACAAAATCAAGCGGGAGAGAGAGAGAGAGAGAGAGAGAGAGAGAGAGAGAGAGAGAGAGAGAGAGAGAGAGAGA